GATTCCAAAACTAGACTTTCTTTGACTCAAATACAAAGCACTGTCTCTCATTAAAAAAAGCAAAGGCCCTAAACGCTGAGCTCACTTTTTTTTCTCAGCGTGCCCGTAAACGACACAAGACTACTGCCAGAAGACTGGAGTGAAGTGGTCCGGATGGACAGCAGCTCTATCCTCTCACAGGGCGCTGACGCACAGCCTGTCACCGTCCCGAGGAAGCGCGCCGGCTCTGCTGTCAACGTTAAGTGGGTGGAGTTAGAACCATCTCGGGTACCACAGAGTTCAAAGCCAGCCAGAGACCCGGTGGGGCGGCTCTGGGGCGAAGAACTAGCGCAACCAACCACCCCAGACAACGCAGTAATGCGGCCGCGGCGGGCCTTCGCAGACTCGGTTAGCCGGGCGGGCGACGGCGGGGCCCCTCCTACCCCGGAGGCTCAGCGAGCGACGGAACGCAGCGGGCCCAGAGGGCGGAGGGCGCCCTCGGCGGGAGGAGGGCGCCCGGGGCTCGGAAGCGAGGCCCCGGGGAGCAGCGGGCGCCCCGGGCACCGGCTTCCGCCCGCCGAGCGGCCTACTCCAGGCGTGGCGGGCCTCGGGTGGAGAGCGGGAAGCGGGCGGCCCTCGGCGGCCGGGGCGTACTCACCGCGGCGCGGGCCGCTCCCCCGAGCGCCTCCCGAACGCTGGGGGAAACTCCTCCGAGTGGAGACCGCGCGGGGCGGGGCGGGGCGGGGCGGGGCGCGCAGGCGCAGGCGCAGGCGGGCGAGGGGCACTGTGGGCCAGACTAACCACCCGGAACCACCGCGGCCCTTGCGAGGGCTTTGCTAGAACTTGCTGGAGGTATGAGGGAAAACAGGAAAAGGCAATTGGGTCCCCAAAAACCATTCGAAATCAGCTTTGCTACATCAAACTTCCTCTACTGCCTTATTTGCATGAGTTCAGAATTACATCGAAATTAAATGTTCACAGACTACTTAGAAACTCTCAGGGGGTAAAACGTTGATGTCTGACCACGGCAGTGGAAATCGAGTATCCTTAACCTCAGCTTAAAAACATTGATGGGGCTGGAGAGATGGCTCAGGTTAAGAGCGTTGGCTGCTTGAGTTCAATTCCCAGCAGCCACATGGTGAGATCTGGTGCCCTTCTCTGTTGCATTGGCACACATTCAAGACATAACATTGTATACATAATAAATCTTTAAAAAATAAAAACACTGAATTTGGGGTAGAGACGGAGGGTGGGGCTGTGAGGAAAGGAGGAAGGGGGTTACAACCAGGATGTAAAATGAACTTTAAAATTAATTAATTGAAAAATACTGAATTTTCTCTGTTGTGGAAAAAATTGCAATGGTGGGTCCGAGGGGAGGGGAAGATGAGTGGGACTGGGGTGCACGATGTGAAATTCAGAAAGATCCAATAAAAAAAATTTTTTTTAAACCACTGGAACTTCTACAAGTACGCATAAGAAGATATGTCTCAGGAAGCCCGTTTTCTTTGAAAAAAAAAAAAAAAGCCAACAGCAGAAATTATCTAATATGACAAAGATAAATAAAACATGAAATTTTCATAAAATAAAATTCTACAACAAAGCTGGAGAGATGGCTCAGAGGTTAAGAGCACTGGCTGCTCTTCCAGAGGTCATAAGTTCAATTCCCAGCAACCACATGGTGACTCACAACCATCTATAGTGAGATCTGGTGCCCTCTGCTGGTGTGCAGGTGTACATGCACACAGAACACTGTATACATAATAAATAAATCTTTAAAAAAAATTCTACAACAAATAAAACTTAATGTTTGCTAGCTCCTAACACAGCTTCCTGAAGCCAGGCCTTTAATCGCAGAAGGCATTGTCAAGTCTCTCCCCGACCCCCAAAAAGGGTGGTGCTGGTGGTCGTAGTAGTAATCTTACTGAAATAATAGCAAGCCAACAAAATACAATCACTCTTAAACGATTAGAAAAAGTATATAGTTACATGTCGTTCACAGTGTGGAAAACAGTATTATTAAAAGCACAGATTAATGAACTAGGTGGCTAGATGGGCACACATCACGGTAATAGCATGGAAATGGGAGGAAGACGTAAAACGGAAGAGGTAATAAACAGGACTTGAGATAGATGTCAAGACCAGGACATGCCAACAATACAAGCCCTCAAGAAGCTGAAACAGAAGGACCACCACAGGCTTGACTCTGGCCTGAGCTACACAGCAGCAAGACAGGGCTGTGTTCCAGCTGGTACCCGCCCTTCACTTGTATGTACACATGTTCCTCTCCAGTATACACAGCCTTCTCAACACCCCAACCCCAGCAGGCGTCAGGCTGCACACTCGAGTTTCTCCACTCACAGTAACAATCAAATTTAGACAGTTGCTATTTAAGTGTGTGCCCAATGTAGTCAGCTATGAAGAACAGAAGGGCCAGTCTGGTCTGAAGTGGTTTTGGATGATATCCCGAAAAGCAAAGTGTCTAGAGCACTTCTAGGGAATCCCCTATGTACCATCGCATGCCTATGCAAGGTTGTGTGTGCACAACAGAATCAGATGCACTATGGGAAGGGACATGTGCACTAGGAAGTCAATGGATGGCCTAATCTACCAACCAGAGAGAACCACCCAAACTATAGCTTTTAGTAACCGGCCAACAAAGACAGCCTGTAATCCCAGCACTCAGGAGGCAGAGGCACACAGATTTGAGAGTTCCAGGCCAGCCTGGTCTACAAAGTGAGTCGAGGACAGCCAAGGCTACACAGAGAAACCCTGTCTTGAAAAACAAAAAACAAAAAAGCAGACCTGTAGACCTCAGGGTGCAACTGAGTCCTTCCTGTGCCCTCACTCATGTGACCTGCTGTCAAGCTTAACCATGTGTCTATAATGTATTTCTTTGCTCCACACAAAGTTATCTTGTTTCTTTACCTGCTGGCTTCAATGAGAAATGTGCACTTAGCCCTGGTTCCCAGCTGGTGGTGCTGTTGGGTCTGTAGTACAAACTTTAGTGGGTGGAGCCTTGCTGCAGGAACTCCATCCCTCAGGGAGGGCTTTGAGGGTTCACGGCCTTGCCCCTCTCCAGCTCCCAATCTATGCTTCTGCAAGTGGTTGTGAGCTAAGCCTCTTGATCTGGCTGGCCACTTGCTGCCCCACCTCGTTCTCACTGTGGACTCTCTCTCTGGAACTGGGAGCCAAAATAAACCCTTTCTTCTGTAAGTCAATTCTAGTCTTGATGTCTCATCACAGCAACTGAAAAGTCACACCTTTCTCCAGTTCTCTGGATGAGAAGCCATGAATATAGAAACAATCAACCTTGGCCCTGTCCATGCAACCCCAACCGCTGGTCACACTTACACCATGTGAGAGTCCCAGAGGTCAAATTCAGGTTGTCAGGCTTGGTGGCAGGCACCTTTACAGGATGAGCTCTCCAGCCCTTTTCATGTATCACAGGTTGGCCTTCAAACGCTACATCCCAAAGTGTGGGATTACAGGCCTGCCCCACCAGCTCAGTCTACTGTTTCTCATTTCTCCCTTTGAGATGTCTTTGGGAAGACAAGCACTGTCTCTGTGAGCAACTTTGGCTTCTTCAGTTATTGTGAAATCACTCAACTCTCAGTCAGCAGAAGAAGCCAACTAGATCCCTGCAGGGGCTTCTGTCACTTCAACGTCTCAATTTTCTACCTTTTTGTAGTGACTCAAATGATACCTAAAGTCAGGCATGGCAGTACACACCTTTAGTTTTCGTCTCAGCACTCAGAAAGGAGAAGCAGGTGGATCTTTGTAAGTTCAAAGCCAGATTGATCTACATAGTAAGTTTCATGATAGCCAGGGCTACACAGACTCTGTCTCAAAGAAGGAGAAGGAGGAGAAGAGATCCTAATATTCCAGTAATATAAGACCAGTGTGTACACCGCTTTACTCCATTGTCATGTAAAACAGTGTTTTTTTTTTTTTTTTCTCTGTGTCTTGCCTTGAGATTCCATTCCACAAGCAGCTCTTGACTCCATTTTGAGGGCAGAACCTGCCTGCACTCCTCCGTGGACCCAAACTACTATCTGTTCGGCACCACTCACCAGCACAGACTGATAAATGACTTATTCCTGAGGACAGAAAGGGTGCTGCCCTATAAACTTACTGGGAGTGAATTGAGAATTTAAGGGCAGATGGGTGTATTAAAATCTTATCAGGGCAACTGGAGAGAGGTCTCAGAGGTTAACAGCACTGACTACTCTTCCAAAGGTCTTGAGTTCAATTCCCAGCAATCGTGGCTCACAACCATCTATAATGAGATCTGGTACTGTCTTCTGGCCTACATACGGGCAGAGTACTGTATACATAATAAATAAATCTTTTTTTTTATTTTTAAATAAAGCCTTGGGCTGGAGAGCTGGCTCAAGAGGTTAAGAACAGTCATTCTTTCAAGGGTCCTGAGTTCAATTCCCAGGAACCACATGGTGGCTCATAACCATCTATAGTAAGATCTGGTGTGCAGGCAGAATGCTGTATAAATAATAAATCTTTTTAAAAATAAGTAAATAAATAAAGCCTTAACAGAAAAAAAGCAGCCCAAGAACTTACCGGACACTGCAGACCAACAAGAGTGTCTAATTCCCTCACCTGGACCCCATAAAGTGGCTAACACACTGAGATTGACTCTCACCATCAGGGTCACGGCCTTCCCGCCTCCGCAGCGACGTGATTACAGGCATGCACCACACCCTACCCTATTTGGGTGTGTTTTGTCTTGCTGAGATACGACCTATTATTGTAGCAGAGGCTTGCCCTGAACGCCTGACCATCCCGCAGCCTCCACAGTACTTTGCTCACAAGCCTTAACCATTCTTTTTCGAGCAAAGTTTCTGTATGTAGCCCAGTCTAGCCTCAAATTTGTATTTCCCTAGTTTGAGGCACCCTGCTCTGCTACTAACGCGCTTTTGCTAACTGGACAGGGTCTCAGGCGGCTCGGGCCGGCCTCCGCCTCCCACGCGCCCAGACGACGGCTTGACCTACAACTCTACACCCACCGTTCTCCCAGCTTCCCGCGCTCCCCGCAAGGTTCCAGCTGTACCAAAACAAACCGAGCCTCAGGGCTCCGCCCCAGCGTGCTGCGCGGCGCCCAAGCCTCGCGAGAGCTGCTGGCCCGGCCAAGTCCCCGCCCACCCACGCCTCGGCGCGGCGGGGCCGCATGCGCAGCTCTCCAACGGCGCGGCGTGCGGGAACGATGGAGCCTCCTGCGCCGCCCGCCACGGAGGCTGCGGACCCTGGGGGGGCCGAAGCGTACTGCAGCCCCGAGGACGGTCGGGAACCGGACGCAGTGCGCTTCGACCGCGAGAGGGCGCGCCGCCTGTGGGAGGCTGTGTCCGGTGCGCAGCCGGCGGGAAGGGAGGAAGGTGAGTCGGGGGCTCCGGGGATCGCGGATGGCCTGCCGCCTGCCCCTCCCCTGGCGCCGGCCAGCCTCTGCACGACGTCCCGGAACTCCGACCTCACTCCCGCGAACGGTGCAGGACCTCGAAACTCGCTGCCCTGCGGAAATTCGCGTCCTTCTTTCGAGGGCGTCCACACGAGAACAGTTTCCCCCAAATTCTAGGTCTTGTCCTCTTGGAGAGTGACAGGACCTTCCCAGCCTGACCCGTAGCCGAGCCAGCTTACCATTTCTGTCTGTCCTTAGCTCCACATCGCTTCCCTTCCCTCTCAAAGCCCTACAGTTCTGATGGATCTGAATAACTTTATTTAATTTACATTATTATTTATTTTTGCCTCTCCTGAAGCTCACAGTGGATCTCCTGCCCTCAGCCTTCCTAGTGCGAGGATGACAGGTGTGAGCTTTGGAAGGTCTTCCTGAATCCCAGTTTCCTCCGGACTTGATGACTGTGTCCTAGTTTCCCGTATTTCTTTCTGGTAGACCTTGCTGGCCTTGAACTTGCCTGGGTGCGCGCGGCTCAGCCTCTCAGTGTAAGCGCTGGCATTCCCTGAGGTGCTGTATTTCTGCGTCTGTTGCCAGGGCCTTATTCCAGAGAGGAGGTCCAGGAGCCAGAGAAACGTGGCTAGGTGTTCATTTGTCTCCAATGGCTTCGTCTAACACCCTATGCAAAGCTGTGGAGAACGGCGTCAACAGCAGTTGGAGTTCACTGCTGGACTGAAACGTAACAGCTGGCTTTGTTTGATCCAAAGCTGGGTGAATAACGAGAGACGGAGGAGTGCAGGAAGGGCTGGCCTGCTTCTCGCTCCAGAGTCCTTTCCAGAGCTGGCTACCTCATGCTAACCCAAATATACAAGCCCTGTATCTGGGTTTCTGTGCTAATCTGCAGGGATGTGCAGAGAAGCATTTCTGTGTTGGTTGGTTTGCTTGCAGAACAGCCTAATCCTGGAGAGTTTAATGAACTCTTTGCCCTGGATAAAACTGAGATTTTTTTTTTTTTTTTATCATATTCAAGGGAGATATGTTTAATTTTAAAAAAAAAATGTTTTTAATTTTATAAGTATTTTCTGTGTGTGCGCGAGCGTGCGTGCCTGCCCACCCGTGCCAGGTACCCAAAGATAACAGAAGGCATCACATTCCCTGAAACTGCAGTTGCCGTTATGAGCTACCATGTGGGTGTTGGGAACCGAACCCTGGTTCTCTGCAAAAGCAGTTAAGTGCTCTTAACCACCTTGCCATCTCTCCAGACCTAGGATATCTTTAAATTTAAGCATATGCATCTGCAACCTAACCCTGTTAAGTGTGGCTCCTGTGTAAATTTATGCACCATTTCGGAGTCTCTCTTGTACTTTTAAACATTTTTTGAGCCAGGTGTGGCGGTACATAAGCATTATTCCCAGCACTCAGGTGGTGGTGACAGGACGATCAGGAGCACAAGCCAGCTTCAGCTGTATAGCAACTCGGAGCCTGGCGATGGTGGCCGTGCACACCTGTAATCCCAGCATGGGAGGCAGAGGCAAGTGGAGCTCTGAGTTGGGGGCCAGCCTGGTCTACAGAGTGAGTTCCAAGGTAGCCAGGGCTACACCGAGAAACCTTGTCTTAGGGAAAAAAATAAGTTTGTGGATAGTCTGGGCTATATGAGACTCTTGCCTCAAAAAAAAAAAAAAAAAAAGTTTAGTGCGAAGTTGCTCCCCTTGACTCAGTTTTTCTTCATTAATTTGGCGTTCCCGGGGCCAGCTGCACCTCAGAGCCTCAGGAATAATGATATTGTTCTTACCCCGGGAGCGGCTTGCAGTCAGTTGAGGCAGACCCTAAAACAATTGCCACATAATGTAAGAGTGCTGCCGCAGAGTTGGGGATACACCTAAAGGAAGTGGCCTTGGAGATGGGAAGAGCCTGCCCTTGACCTTGAAGCAGAGAATGCAGCAGCTGCTTAATGAGCTATTTGCTTACATATGTATGAGCAAAATAATTACAACCCAGTCAGCTGCAGCACTTGGGAAATTGGGCCCTGGGCTTTGACCGGGCAGCACAGTGGAGCTGGCACTAGAATCATGGGTGCCAGTGGGCAGGCCCCGAGAGCATGAGAACAGGAGAGCTGACCTGCCTCATGCTGATGATGGTGGATGACCTAGCCAGAGCAGTGCTGGAGAACTCGCCCTGGCAGTATGGTAAAGAAGAGCTGGAGCTCTGACCAGGGTACAGGGCCTGGTCAGCTACCACCCAGGGCCACCCCCGAATCTATATCAACTTCTGTTGGGACACGTGAAAGGGCTGGTCCTGCTGACCCGAAGCTGCAGGATCTCCACACACAGGGCAACAACAGGATAACTGGGAGGAGGCCAGTGAGCATCCAATATTGATGAGGTCACAGAAGCCAGACATCTTGAACCAGACCCATGACTCACTGGTTTGAACATTTCCAAGGGAAGATGTGTGGACGGAAGGATGCTGTGGGCACACTGGGACACTCTACAGCTGCCACAATGGGATGTTTTCTGTGCTTTGTTTTTATTTTGGAGGGGAGATTGCAAGAGTGAAGGGCGGGTATGAGGGGATGGGGTGCATGATAAGAAACTAACAAAGAATCAATAAAAGTTAAACAATAATAATTACAACCCAGTTTATTTCCCTGCCATCAGTTCTCTGGTTATATTCTGCCCACTTCTTTCCTTGTAGCACTTCCATAATTATAATTTATGGATCGTAAATTCAACCATTGTAGCTGCACCACTCAGTAATTTAAAATACCTCTTTTAGCTGGGCACAGCGGTACATGTCTATATTCCCAGCACTCAGGGAGGCAGAGGCAGGTGGATTGCTGTGAGTTCAAGCCTACATAGAAAGACCTGAAAAAAACAATGTGTGTGTGTGTGTATGTATGTATGTATATATTCAAACTCCGTGGAGAAGCAAGGCAGGAGCAGAAGAGAGCTCAGGCAGCTGTGAAGAGAACAGACTCCGGAGACAGCTTAGTGAGGAAGCCCTTTAATGTGGAAACGGGGAAATGAAGGCTACTTAGCCCTTTGGGGTTTGCCTCAGACTCCTGAATGCTAGAACTGAAGGCAGGCGCTATCATTCCCAGTGAGAAAAGTGTGTGTGTGTGTGTGTGTGTGCGCGCGTGTGCGCGCACGCGCGCGTTCATGCATATCGTGGTGTTAGTGTGGAGGTCACAACTTCAGGGGTATGTTCTCAGCTTCCACAGTGGGGTGGGGGGTTGACTGGAGTGAGGTGTACGGTGTGTGGGGTGAGCCCCTGTACCTGATGAGCCAACTGACCATCCCCTTTAGCAGTGATTCTGTGGGGTTGCGTGGGTTTTGTGAGGATATCCACTTTATTTCTCATGTGTCCTGTCCTAGGAATGAACTTGCTGGGCTGCATGGTAGCTCTATCTTTTGCATGCTAAGGAGCTGTCAGACCTTTCCATATGGCTTTATTATTTTGCATTTCTTTCTTCGAAGCAAGAGCTTTACTTCTGTATGTCTTCATTTATTGTTTTACCTTTTTTGTTTGTTTTTGCTTTTTTGTTTTGAACTTTGTGTAGTCCAGGCTGGCCTCACTCAGAGATCACCTGCCTTCCGAGTGGAGTGCTGGGATTAAAGGCCTGTGCCACCACACCCAGCTGTTTTGTGAGTGTGTAGTGATTGCTTGTTTTCTAAATACAGGTGAGAGTAAGCACCATGAGACTCATTAGTCACTTGTATACTCTATTTTGGTGAAGTATCTAGTTACATTGTTGCTAATGTCACTCAGTTGTTTTGTATTACCGAGTTATAAGCCATTTTATATTCTGGGTGCAAATCCTATATACAGATATGATACCCACATACATGTTTTCTTTGAGACTTGTCTTCATTTCTTGTTTTGTTTTGATAAAATTATCTTCTTTGAGAGGGATGCTGTTTCACTAAGTTGTATTGGCTGACCTGGAACTCTGTGTGGCTCTAGCCTTGAACTCATAGAATGCTAAGAGTAAAGGCATGCACCACCATGTCTGTCTAGCTCAGATTTTATTACATCTCTGTGTATGTATGTGGGCACATGGGTGTCATGGCATGGATATGGAGGTTAGAGGACAATTTGCAGTAGTCAGTTCTTTCCTTCTACTCTGTGGGTCCCAGAAACTGAACTCAGGAGTTACAGCAAGCACCACAACCCACTGAGCCGCCTCGCCTCACCTGCCGTTACGTTTATTTTATAAACAGTGCCTTTTGAAGCATAGTTAGCTTCTAGCATATGAAAGAACATGTGGTGCTTGTTTTCTTTGCCTGTCTTTTCTCACTTAAAATAATGCCCTGTAGTTCTATTCATTTTGCTGCAAATGACATTTCATTGTCCCTGTGGCTGTATAATATTCTGTTGGGTATATGTACCATGTCTTCTATATTCTTTTTATTTTGTTTTATTTGTGAGTGCACATTGTGTGTGGAACTGGCATAGCTACATGTGACAGTGAAAAGCAGTTCTGGGAGTTCTCTCCTTTTGTCAAGTGGGTTCCAGGACTCAAACTCCGGTAGTCCGATTTGGCAATAAGTGAGCCACTTCTTCAGTCACACATTTTTCTATCCTCATTCATTTGGCTGATCTTATAGCTTAGCTATGGCGAGTTATACTGCTTTACACATGGGCATACAGGAATGTCAACATCCTTTAATTATTTTAAAGGACTTACTTGCTTCAAAAGACTCTTGTTGATATTTTGTATCATAATAGTTGCAGTTGGAGATAGAGAGATGGATCAGTAGTTAGTAAGCTGACCTGCTGTCCCAGAGGACCCAGATTTGGTTACCAGCACCCATATCATGCGGCTGTCAACTGCTGACGGTACCTGCGCTCACATGAACATTCTCACAAACACACAGCATATATACAATTAAAAATAGTAAGAATAAATCTAAGAAAAAAACAAACAAACAGAAAACAGGTAAACTATGAGGTTCTTTTTCTCCCAACTGGCCCCAAAGAGACTAGAAGAGAGAAAAATAGAAGCCCAAAGCTCTGGATCTTCACCTCACAGACTCACAGAAACCACCTGAAGAAGGCGGTTGGGCACAGCTTTGAAAGATCAGTATACTGCCAGCCAACAGACTGAAGAGTGCTCATGGTACATGAGAGTGGCCATAGTAAAACTTTTAAGTTTTATGTGTAAGCCATGAAGATGAAGTTATTCGAGGATACCTAAAACTGAAAGCCTTCATAGCTGGGTAATAGTATTTGGTTGGGCCAACTTCCTAGAACCCTTTCTGTTGGTCTAGGACTGTGTCCAGAGTAGCGAGGTTTCCTGTGGCGAGGCTTTTCCTGGGCCCTCCTGGCTCTCAGTGACACAGCTCCATACCCGTGTTCTTCCTTCAGAAGGGGCAGACACACTAGGCTGAGTTACCTTCTAAAAGTTCGAAGGCTTGGATTGCTGCAGTCACATGCTGCAGTTACAGGAAATGGCTGCTACATCCAGGAGCGGTGCCCCATGCCTTTAATCCCACATGCAGGCAGAAGCAAGCAGATCTCGGTGAGTTCAAGGCCGGCCTGATCTACAAAGCAAGTTTCAGGGCTATTTTATGGGCTGGGAAGTTGGCCTAGCAGTTGAAAGCACTGGCTGCTCTTGCAAAATATCCAGGTTTGATTTCCAGAACCCACTTGGTATCTCACTACTGTCTCTAACTCCATTTCCCTGGGATCCAACACCCTGCCTCCAAGGTGTACAGACACATGAAAGCAAAACACTGCTACACATGAATAAAGGAATTTTTAAATTCAATTGTGCAACTGTCTCAAAAGACACAAGTGTCCTGGATGTGCACTGTCCTTTTCCTAAATACCTGTCTCCTCTAAGGCTTAAAGTCTACATTAGAACTACCATTGAGGTCATTGTTGAGGCAGGATCTCACTGTATAGCCCTATACAGCCTGCAGCTTACTGAATACACTAGGCTGGCCTTGAACTCAGCTGCACCTGCCTTTGCCACTTGAGTGCTGTTCTTAAAGATGTAGATCTGCATCCTGTGTTAAAACTGCTTTGTAAGTCCCCAGCTACAGTTTAAAAGGTTGCGGTACATTGTGGTATGGGCCTGCAGTCACATCTGCTGAGACAGAAGGATCCTTTGAGCCAGGAAATCAGGTCAGGATGGGACAACCTCGCCTCACATAACGGGAGCACTTGACCCGGTGAAGAACATTGTCCCGAATAAAATAAGTAATAGTTCAGGTGTTTGCAAGTAGCTGAGTCAGGGCACGGTGGGGTCAGGGACAGGTCTGCGTATGTGTCAGTATGGACTATTACTTGGTGTCTGTTTGACTGGGAACCGTGCTGTCGCAGTCGCCTCTGTCAACCTGCATGACTTGTCCCTCTGCAGTGGAGCACATGATCCAGAAGAACCAGTGTCTCTTCACCAGCACCCAGTGCAAAGTCTGCTGCGCCATGCTGATTTCGGAGTCGCAGAAGCTGGCCCACTACCAGGTAGGCCACTCCTGCGGTCGCCATGCAGTCTCCTTTGAGGTCCAGGGTCAGGCCCGTGAAGGCTCCGTCATGCTCGTCATGCTCGTGTGCCTGGGACTTGAAGACTGACTTGGTTTCTGTGAGTCTCATCTCTCCCACCCACATCGGGGTCATAGTATGCAGATCTTTTTGCACAGCTTTGATGCAGCAGGGAGTAAGCCCTGGCCTTATGCAGACCTGAGTTTGAAGCCAACTCTGTTACTCATTTTAGGCAAGAAATTTCACCATGTTGGCCTCAGCGTCTTCATGTGTAAGGTAACAGTGTGCTCACCGATTGTTGAAGGTTAAATTTAAGGGCCTAGCACAAAGCAGGAACTCAGCCAGTCAGGCTTCCTTCCTGGGTTTTCTCTTGGCAGGTGTCTGTGAGGGTGAATCAGGTGAGACCCCGGAGTGGCCTGAGGGCCTTCCCTGACATTTGGCTACCTTTGATCTTTCTCCTGGATTCTTGCAGAGCAAAAAACATGCCAACAAAGTAAAGCGCTACCTAGCAATCCATGGACTGGAGGCACTAAAGGGGGACGTGAAGAGGCTGGACGCAGACCAGGTAAGCGGCTGCCTGCTGACACGGCTTCCCACGCGGTGGGGGTGGTGCAGGCGTGGGCTTTGAATCAGACTGGGCTGTGACCCCCAGCCCTGTGGTCTAACTTGGGCGAGTCCTCTAACTTCGAACCTGGACTTCCTCCTCTGTTAAAGAGCACTTGCAGGCATGGTGGGGTGCACGTGGAAGCAAAGCCCTGAAAGGTGGAGGCAGGAGGATCAGTAGTTCAAGGCTATCCTTGGCTGCAAAACAAGTTTGGGGCCAGCCTGGGCTACATGAGAAACTGTCTCAAAAAAAAAAAAAACCATAATTACCTTTCAGAATTTCTTGTACGTTGAAAAAAAAAAAAAAAAACCAGGAACAGCATGAGACTCAGAACTGTCATGCGGGAGCAATTGGTAAACGGCATCACTGCTGTGCTCTTCCTACCCAGAGGTTTCCTGAAGCAGCCTAAGCTAATTGTCCTGAGCTGTGGGGAAAACAAGCTTTCAGCTTTTGGCCTGAAACAGATGAGGAAAAGAAATGCCTCCTCTGATCATGAGACAATTACCTTGAAACAAGCCCTAACTCCTTGAGTGTGCTGTGTCTTTCAAAGTGTGGAAATTATGCACACAGATTATGCCCACCAAGGGTAGGAAATCAGTGGGTGTGGCTCTTTAATTTGGATGACCTTGAGCAAGTCACTTAACCTCTCTGAAATTCAGTCATAAAGTGGAGGTGATTGTGCCTCTCTACAGTCTAGGTAAAATTTAGTCCCTAGTAAGTGTGCAATAAATAAGGTTACTCTCCAGCCTGCCAGTTCCTGTTAGAGTGGCCAGGGGTCTAAAGGGGCCTGCTTGTCCCTTCTGGGACTCCTGGTTGCCCTTACTGTTTGGAGCTGGAGAGACGGGTGCATTTCACCTTTCTGCACTCAGTCTCGGCAGTTCTTGGGCTGAGGTCACGGCACCCACCTCCAGCCGGGAGGCACCAGCCCCAAAGCGTCTGCAGTGCGGAGACAGGTGCTAAAGAAGCACCTCCAAGGATGCACTTTTGGGAAGACTGAAATACACTGCCTAGCATAGACACAGTAATACATGGAGCCCAGGGACGGGCTTGTCCTAAGAGCCCTGGGGCTCTCCTGGGTACTAGACCCAGCAGGCCACAAGGCTGGGACGTGAAGATAAGTCAAGTTGTCCACCGACAGGTCAGTGACAAAAGTTGTAAGGGAAGTCCGACCACTCTGGGGACACAGATGAGCAAGATTAGCTCTTCCTGGCATACCTAGGAGGGGCTTGGTGATTGTTATCATTTTGTTTAAAGTAAAAGTCATTAAATGGCTGATAGCAGACCATTGGTGCCAGTCAGAGATGAGGTACCAGTGCAATATCCAGCAGGTGGAGCTAAGAGGTGGGTGGCCAGTCCATCTGGACGCCCTCCGTAGCTGAGCAGGATGATGAGTGTCAACGGCCTGGACCTCCCCAGATGCCCCAGGGAATAAACCACCACTGAGCCGGGAGATCTGTCGAAGCAGGAACTCCATTTATCCGCTTTATTGAATAAAGCGGTCCTTTTTATAGGTTTATGTCAGGAGGCACGATTAAGGAAGTGAGGTAAGATGACGTAGAGGGCAAGGTTAGGTAGTGCAAGGAGAGGTGGGCCAGCAATAAAACTCCACGTAACAGTTGCCAGGCAGGGTTGGTTTTAAGGCGGATATGCTGAATTACTTTTGCCTGGAAGTGGTACCTTTTAAGTCAGAAGCTAAAGACAGGTCTCCAAACTTGAGCCAGGCTCAGGTAGATGCAGCAGACCTTATCAGGCCCAACAAGGAGGAACATTCCAGACAGGAGGAATAACCCAGGCAAAGCAAGGATAAAGTGGGAAATCCTGCCTGACGTGAAGCAGCTGGAGAAGAGTCCCGAGGTTGTCGTTGTCGTGTGAGGCAGTGGGCACCACTGGCACCTTGCTGGGTGGGCGGGGCCGTGACCAGCCTGTCCCCTCCCCAGCAGAAGAGCAGCAGAAGCAAAGACCAGAACCGCTGCTGCCCCACCTGCAACATGACCTTCTCCTCCCCCGTCGTGGCGCAGGCGCACTACCTGGGGAAGACCCACGCCAAGAACCTAAAGCTGAAGCAGCAGGCCACCAAGGGGGCAGGTATGGTTTTCCCGAGTGCTGCTTGGGGACACACACACACACACACACACCCGCCCAGGGCACCACTGCCAGGTGCTTCCGGCATGCTCCCTGGGGCCTCAGAGTTTTGAAGTGTTTGAGAGCCCTGAAAAGTCCAAGTAAAAGTTGGGGTGTAAGTCAGATGGCGGAGGGCTTCCCTAGTATGCACAAGTGTGGCTCTCACCCCAGCCTTGATAAGTCACCTGTGCACACCTGTAGTCTCAGCGCCCAGAAGTGAGGCCAGCCTGGGCTGCGTGAGACCCTCTAAGTACAGATGTACCATATTGACCCTGCTCCATTGAGATTCGGCCTCACACTTGCGTCCATTTCACTTCCCTCCGAGTGGTTTTATCAGATTTTCTATAGAAGCTTCTTAGCTTCCTGAGCAGCAGCTATGCCACAGGAGTGCCAGAGGCCTGTGCACACCGGGAGCCTTCTGCCCCTTGCCTCTCCCACCTAATCTCCCTTTCCTCCCACCTACCTGCTCTTACTACTAAGTGTTGCCAGGTGACAGTTAAATCTTCATCTTGTTTATGGGCTCAGGCCGTGCACTGCTCCAAACACTGCCTGTCCAGACAGCTGGGATTTGCCTTCAAAGCAGGACACAATAAGGCGCTATTTGCAGCTGCTGTGAATCCACTCCCAGCCCTGAGGTCACAATTAACCTTCTTTATACTTTCACTGTTGACCCAGCCTTCACTTTCATTTTGTTAGCCCTGAATCCTGAGGTTTATAACCTAGGCTGAAAACAATTAGTCAAATTAGTCAAGAGTAGGAGGCCTTTGATCTCTCTCTCTCTCTCTCTCTCTCTCTCTCTCTCTCTCTCTGTGTGTGTGTGTGTGTGTGTGTGTGTGTGTGAGATATATTTTGCATCACACTGTGGATAGAAGTTTATGTCCTTTTGTTTTACTTCATCATTGAAACAAGACAGCAGTGTTTTAGAAGGTTTTAAAGATGATGGGAAAATCTTGTAATTTTGCCCTCTTATCATACCCAAATGGTGTGAAACAATAGTACGTGGACTTTGAAGTCAACAGCAGATTTGAGTCCCGGTGCTGTTGTTTACCATTTGTGTCTGAATTTCTACACCTGTAAAGTGTCGGTGTTGCCTGCTTGGAGCTTGTGAAGACAATTATTAAAAACACTGGCAAGCAGATACACTGGCACCTCCGGTCCCAGCACTTGGGAAGTGGAGGCAGGAAGATGAGGAGGTCAGTGCTGTCTTTGGCTACAAGTCTGAGACCAGCCTGGCCTACCTGACATCCAAAAATATAAGAAGCAAATACCCCCCCTTCAAAAAATCTAGGATATAGCAGATAGTCGCTAAACATCAGCTATCATTATTCTTGTCACCATTAAAAAGTGGACTCCCTCATAAAATGCCATCAGTGGTCAGGAAGCCACCACCTAGAGCAGTGGTTTTCAACCTCATGCTGTGACCTTTTAACACAGTTAATGTATTAAACAGGTCCTCAAGCTGTGGTGACCCTAACATAGAGCTTTTTTCCTTGCTACTTCATAACTAATTTTCTACTGTTATGAATTTAAATCTCTGTTTTCCAGTGGTCTTAGGCCACCCTTGTAAAGTTACTCAGCCCCAGAGGAGACTGAGCCCACAGTGAGAATCAGTGAGCTAGAGCGCTGTTGACCTTGCCTGCGGTTGATTGTTGGCTGAGGTGAGAACTGGTTGACCTTGTCTAAAGTGAGAGCCGGTAGCAACAATACACCACAGCGTTTAAGCCTTAGGCCAGGGCGCGCATCTTAACTAAATTTTTACTGTTGGGAAAATCATGTGGAACATGCCTTCTCCCAAGACTCCTGTTATTTTCCATGTTCCCTTTGAGCCTTTGCCATTTGACAATTTGTGTTGCAATTAGTGCAGTGAACGTTTGTATTCTGCTCTTTTCCCCTTAGCCTTATAGTTTAAGGATATGTCCAAATTACTTCATGAATTTACTGTGACTCCATTCCTTTAATTAAGCTAAAAGTGAAACAAGCAGCCAGGCACAGTGACACAGGCCTGTAATCCTAGCTCTCGTGAGACAGAGGCAGGTGGATCACTGTGAGTTCAAGGCCAGCTGGTCTACAAAGTGAGTCCAAAAACACAGAGAAACCCTGTTTTTGTTTGTTTGTTTGTTTGTTATTGTTATTATTGTTTTGGTGGGGTGAGAGGAGTGAAACAAGAATGCTGTAGAAAATATAAATTGAAAGGAGTTCCCATAATTTTACCATTCAAGTTAAGTGCTGATAGCCTTCCAGAGTCCTTTGTTCTTATAACCTCGTGTGCTATGTGTATTCGTATATGCTTGTATTACATTTGTATTCTGTTCATCCAGGCTAACTCCACATATGTGCTTGTAAACATAGAATACATAATTTCTGTCTCTGTAAAAATGATGCACATAGGTGAATAATTCCCATTCAATGTGCAAAACATTCAAAGAAGCAGGTGAAATGGCACCCAAGGCCTACCTATAAGGAGAGCACTGTTAACCGTGGCTCATGCTTAAAGGGCAGCCTGGACTACAAACAAGTTCTGTGTCATAGAGTAAGACCCTGACTCAAAAGAATAAGCAAACAGATATAGCTGTACGTTCCATGCCATGCTGACATACATCTGTGTATGCGTGTAGGTGACATTTTAAAATGCTAGTATATTTATATAGATTACACAAAATTCTTTCGACACTGACATGACCATATTGATAATATGTCCATCTCCTTATATATTTCCTATTTAATATAATATGATCTCATGTTGGTGCTACAGAGCCAGATCAGCAGTTACAAGTGTGTTCTATCCTCAGAGAGGTTCCTTGTGAGGCTTCCATGGGCGCTATGCTCAGGTGCAAATAGCCACACATAAAAGAAAACAACCTTGGCCAGCCTGGTCTACAAAAGAGTCCAGGACAGCCAAGCTACACAGAGAAGCCCTGTCTTGAAAAACAAGCAAAACCTCTTTTACATGTAGTTCACTTTCTGAATGACTTGCTGAAACAAAGCCAGTGGCCAGAGGGAATGCTGTGACTGGTGAATGTTGTCTGGCTTGCTACAGATCCTCAGTGTGCAGTGGAAGCCGTAGGAGATGGGAAGAACCTGACCCACCTCTGCTGACCCCGCCCTCTCCCCTACCGCTGGGCCTTCCATGTCTGCAATAGTGGCTAGTTAATACCATTCCAGCTGGTCTGCTTTCAACATCAGCACCTGTGTTGACCTACGGGTGGGTCACACATAGGTCCATGACGTGTGTGTGTGTGTGTGTGTGTGCGTGTGTGCGTGTGTGCGTGTGTGCGTGTGTGCGTGTGTG